ACAAAAATACTCATCAATTTTAAATATATGTATTAATTTAATTAGTATAGATATTGTAAAAATTAATCAAGTTAAATATTTTATAAAATGTGCAAATATTAACTAGATTTTTTAAAACATCACATCTTGACGCTTTATGGTTAAAAAAAGTTATTGAATTAAAAAGAATTGAAGGTGAAGGTTTGAAATTATATATTATTACAAGATGGATAACAGTATATGAATGTATTTTATCAATTTGAAGATTAAAGGATGCTTTAACAATACGTATGAATTTTTAATATTAATATTATATTATTTAAAAACTTTTTTTAATATATTATTTTTATTAAATTGCAATTTTATATATTAATGTCAATATGGCCGCATTTATTTGCGGGAGAAATAAGTGTAACTATACACATGTATACAGTTATAATTAACCATGGAGACATGTAAAAGGGTAGAAACATCTCAAAAAGTCGGTTTGTTTTCCGATTTTTGAGTTACATTTTATTAGTATATAAATGGAAATTTAAAATAACCCGTTTCTAAAAGTGACACGACAGATCCCCATCAGGCTACTGTACAACACGAATCAAGGGAAAACTAAGGGATTGTAAGTTTCAAAAAGCAAATTATAGTAACATACCGAAATAGAATTTTTTGGCGTTTGGTTCAGATCGTTATGATTTGAAACGAAGCGATCTTAGAATGAAACTAAGAATCAAAAATTTGAAATCTAAATCTATATTGTGTATTAAGTTGATGAATAAATATAAGAATTCCCGATCATTAATGATATCTGAATAAAATTCTTTATATCTTTTTGAATACTATAAAAAGGATTTGTTCAATGACAGAGTATACATAAGATAGAGAATAAATATCTCTATAATAAAGCTAAAAACAAACATCAACTTATGAAACTAGCAAATCATTAATAATAGATTATGACAAGAATCACAAGATAAGAACAATCATTTTGAGAAAGGGAAGATTTTCATAAAGCCGGGACGTTTCCATTAAGTAAGAATTATTATTTTACCTTTTTTTGAAAGAAGCATAGATGCAGGACTAAGGAGGGCATTGTTTCATTATATTCATTATATTTTATTATGATGATGTTATTGTTTACTTTTTGTAACTTTGAACCCTATTACAGTAATATCAATGAATCAAAACAATCGAGCTTAATTTGCATACAATACTAAGTTATTGCATAATAATTGTGAAAGATTAAGATTTTGAGATTTTGAATTTTTTATCGCTCTAAAATAAAAACTCAATTTATTATAAATACAACACCTTTTTTCTTTCCATTTTTTCTCATCAAGTAACAACTCAATAATACCAACAAACAAATAAAACTAATAAAACTAATAAAACAATTAAAATTCACAACAAAATAAAAATGAATCCAACCGCTAAAACTTCTAATCCAATTGTCATCGTTACCTCTGAAGTTACAAAAAAACCAAACCCTACAAATCAATGCTCTATAATGTAAAACATTATAAACATTATTTCAAAACAAAAAACAAAAACAAAATTATTTCCTGCTTAAAAATGAAACGGCCTGGTGCTGTACAGCAATTTCCAAGTTCTCAAAGGACCTCTCGTTATCGATTTTTCACTTCGAAAAGAACGGCTTGATGAGAATCATCCTAATCTCAAAGTTGATTTATCTTTGTGTAAATTATTAATGTTACTATTTAAGTATTATTTTATTTAATAATATTAAATAGAAAGTTTATTTTAAAATTCTTTGTATATTTTTGTTCATTTATTCTTTTTATTTATTAATAAACAATTGAAGTTTGCTTTATCTGTTATATTTTATCAAATTCGTTGTCTCATCTCAATTGCTATGTCGCGCGCATAAATAATGCTGTTCAATGAAAATAAAATAAAATAAAATAAAAAGACATATTAAAATAACGCATTTACAGTATATCAGAAAAAAATTTATAATCTTGGTCTTTATGACTTTAAATCTTATGATTTGTTTTATTGATTCAATCAAAAAACAAGGTATATATTTAAACACCAAGTTTCTTCTCGAAATCTCACATGATATTGGAACTCAAACGACAGAAATTTCAATGTTATCCAAATTTCAAATCTGCTCGTAAATCTAATTTTACTCATGTGACATTTTATGTGATATATACGAAGAGAATTACCCATTTGCAGGAATCTCACGTTTAATTCATCCAATCACGACCAGTATTCACAACACACTACACTAAAAAATAGTTTATCTGGTATATCCTTATTATTCGCGCTATCACAAAGTTTAGCAAGTGGAAAAAATTCCAATAGAGAAATCAGTCCAATTCTTTCACATACAATGATTATCGATTATTTGATTTGTATGACAAAATAACATAATACTATTTTAAAATGCTTAAAATGCCATTTTAGAATTGTTAAAAAAATTATTCTATTTCGTTCAATCAAAACTTTTATATTACATTCCTGGTCGTTCAAAGGACCGTTGACCGATCATTACCATCCCTATTTCTGATATACCAAATATACCAAATAACAAAAAAAAAATTTGTTTATTAACAAATTCTGATCCAGCGTTTTCAAATGCATCATACGCTAATTCCGTTATGGATAGAGATTAAGTTGAAAACCTTATGACGTGATTTGAATTTCATGCTCGATGCTAATCGAAAAAGGCTACTTGAAAAAAAAATATCGGCCAATCTTAATAAATAAAGTTTGTAAACAAATTATCCTGCCAGTGAGTTCACGGATTGCGATTGACGGGTTTACAACTTATCGTGATTTTGAATGTCAGGAATTTGAATCGTACTTTTATTTACGAAAAAGCAGACAATTTAACCATATATTTGGCCAATATATTGTATAAAATATCCTTTTTGATTCTAGCAAAACTCCGAACCTGTGTGACACTAAATCTACTTTACAAGGGAAAAACTTAAAGAAGTCAAGGGTATTGAAGATCTTTCGAATTATAGAACCTTTTTTTTAAAATTATTCATGTAAAAATTTTTTAATAACCACAATCGTTACAATCGTGATAAAAAGGACGCGTTCCCTAATTTTGAAAAAATAAATCCGGATCATAAAAAATTCCTAATTCTACTTGATACTAGATCGACCAGATCTGCATTTGCCCCATTGAAATTTGATTCAAAGAATTCTTTTCATTCATTATCATTTATTAGGTAAAAAAATTTGTATCATGTGCAAAAGATATAAAAGATATGCGATTTGTCAATTATTGACTAATTTAAATTTGTTTTCTCGTGATAATTTTAAACAAAAGGAAATCTGATTGGTTACAATGAGTAACTAAAAAAAAAAAGATGATCGATTAATCTTTTTTTTTTTTCTTCAACAAAAGTTTATTCTTTTTTATATTTTTTTTTTTGCTCAAATTATTTTTTTTTTATTATACGAGAAACTTTTTATTATCATAATAATGGCGTCAAATCCATCTACAATGGCTCCAGTTGACTATATTATAACATTAGTTGAAACAATTGAAAATTTCGTTGAACCTTACGTGTCTCCGATAGAACTTGCGATTAAATCAATATTTACTTCATACTTCCCTTCCCTGAGTGAAAATGTTTCAAGTTTTTTAGAAATTAATCAATCACCTTTATCAGCTCGTTTACCCTTAATGAACCCTTTTCACGTCTTATTAATCGTTATCGTGTATTTATCCTTGGTATTTTTTGGAAAATCTTTTATGTCAACTAGAGAAAAATTGAATGTTGGATTATTAAGTATTATACATAATTTGACCTTGGTCACTTTGAGTACTTATATGTTTGTAACCATCAGTTCCGAAGCTTGGAGGAAGAACTATTCCTTATTTGCTAATCCTGAAGTGAAATCTGAAGAAGGTTGGCAGGTATGGATTCGATTACGTAACGTGATGACGTCTTTCTGCGCCATCAAACGATTTTTTAATTCTCTCTGATTCCCTTACAGATGTCGAAATATGTTTGGCTCTTTTACGCTTCCAAGATCACGGAATTTATGGATACTTTTATCATGATTTTGAAAAAGAATTTTCGTCAAATTACTTTTCTGCACGTTTATCATCACTTTTCAATTTTTATGATCTGGTGGTTTGTAACTTATGTTGCACCAAATGGCGAGGCGTATTTCAGTGCCGCTTTGAATTCACGTAAGTAACCCCTCAGCTTTTTTTTTTTTTTAAAAAAAAAGAAACCGTTTTTTCAAAACATTTCCTAAACCCCATCCCTTCATCTTTTAGTCGTCCACGTTGTAATGTACGGGTATTATTTCAGCACGACAATCAAAGTTCCAATTCGGTTCATAAAACGATACATTACGTTGTTTCAAATGACTCAATTTACTTTAATGATGATCCAAGCTACTTATGACATGGTTTACTTTAAGTATTTACATCCTGAGGAAACAAATACTTACCCATTTTCATTAACCGCTATACTTTGGGTTTATATGTGGTCCATGTTGGCCTTATTCGCTAATTTCTTTATAGCTGATAGAAAAAGGGAAAGAGAACTTAGATCAACTCGCGGTAAAAAATCTCAATGAAGAATAGATCATACACTTTTTTTTTTGTGGTAGGAATGTTTTTCATCCTTTGTAGATAGAATGATGTTAATCTTAGAAATGATTTATTGAATCTCTTATATTAATTGACAAATCATTTCTCGTTTTCCGTTATTAATAAAATGAAATAATTCATATTAATGCATAGAAGAATCTTTTGTAATCTGTGGAGAACGCACATACATTTCATGCAAATCCAAGGATATTTATTTGTTAACATACATATTATTTTGTGCAGTGTAACCGACAGTCACACTAACTTTATTTAATTAATTACAAATTGAATTAAAGATATTATTATTGACAAAATCTATATTAATAAATTATTTTAAGTATATTAACGAAAATATCTACTAATGAAATGTCTATATATTAATGCTCTCCCATACTTATGTTAAACATTTACATTTTATGAAGGCCTTTCCCATTAATTACATTTTATGAGGGTCTGGAAAACATCTTTCTCCTTGTGATTGAGTATTATTCCCATACCATTCAGGAAAATCGGCCTATAATTTAAAAATATATATGAATACTCAATAACAACGAAATTTAATCCTAAATAATTAAGAATTAAACCTTTTACTTACCTTAAACATAACGTTGAAAAAGAAGAAAATAAACATTGTGACTATCTGCGCTGCACTGTCAAATGCAGCAGAAAGCGCATAATTATATCTATTATAAACAATTGCTTTAGTTTGTGTGTAATCATTAATCAATTAATGGGAAAAGATATATAATAATACTTACTTGTTCCACCACTAATTGTTATTAATGAATTATTTAAATAAAGCGAATATTATCTTTTTAATAATTGCAAATTATTATAATGTACTCTTTAAAAAAAAACTCATCACATTACCTTACGGTGATATCTAAAAGCCCAATATTGGCTCAAGAATGCTGCAACAAAACCAGATATTATGAAATTTGTATAAGTACCAGGTAAAAGTCCTAAACCGTTACAAATTAAAGGAATCGTAATTAAATGGAATTTGGCCTTTGGGTATCTTTTATGTAACAAATAAATGGGAACAGGTGCAATAAATCCTATTAAAAATCCCCACAATAATGGATGATATATAGATCCCTATATGAAAAAATGTGATTAAAGATAATATATAAATAATATAATCTTTACAAATTTATTAATGACTTACTTTGCCAAAAGTTTTACCAGGCCCAATTAGTCCCCATACTATTGAGGCTGTATTGAAAACTTGAGAACGATAACCGGTCCATTGACCAGTTGGATCTTCCATGGTCCCATCCAAAAATGGCCTTTTTGCGGCTATAATTAATTGAAGTAGCCAATAATTTATAAAGGCACCTACTATTGTGCCCCATAATTGTGACACAAACATGGCTTTGGGAGGAATTTTCATATAATGTCCTAAATCAAAAGAATATCATCAGCACATAAATTATAAATATACGATATTTTATAATCAAATACTTACCAAGCTTTAGGTCAGATACAAAAGATAAACATTGATGCATAGCCATATATCCATAACATTTAAAATAAACATTAGCGATTGGACGTCCCGGAAAAATGTACCTAAAAAATACATAAATATGTACGTCAAGATAAATTCGAATTAATGAAAATAATTTTTTGAAATGAGGATTTACCCGCATATCATTTCCGTTACAACATTAAGACCAACTTGATTATTGGATATAGCTTGAATTATTCCTAAAAAAAAAAAAGTATATATATATATATACATACATACATATACATCCAGTTATAGAAAATAATAGATTTTTTTAAAAAAAGGTCACAAACCTATAGGCAAAACCATAATACATGCAAGTCCCACAGCCAATAATAATCCATACCATGGTAAATGTGATCCTGATACAGTACACAATATCATCGCTATGAATAGCATTAGAATAAATATACACGCATACCACCAATTAGGAATCTCTAAATAATTTACACCAAATATCGGATTAGTCGGAACAAGTTAATAAATTTAACTCAAGATCAAATTAAGTATCATATTTCATGCCTTCATAGCTTTTCATCATTTTACAATGAATGTCTTCAACTTCTTCGGATCGACTAGCCTTAAATCTTCCCCAGATTTCACCTCCATAAAATAAAGCAACGTGACTAATTGCTGCCGAAAAAGATATAAAAGAATAAAAATATCCAACAGCGAATGTTACACTTAGATAGGCAGGACCATATTCTTCATATGCTGTTTCATTCAGTGATCCCGTATATGCATTAATGATTGCGGTTTGGTTATATCTGTGATATGAAATGATATTGCAACTAATAATTAGTCAAGATAAAATTTATGTAATTTAAATAAATCTCAATACGTCAATTAACCTTTCTCCATCACTATCCAAAGAATAAGTCGCCAAAAAAGGAAACGTTTTCGCCATCCTAGAAATGAAAATCGTTTCTGAGCATTTTGAAATTTTTTAAAAAAGCAATTTTGGAACAAATCCATTCTCTTACCAAACATCATTATAATACAAAATCGGTGCGATGATCCATGACCCAATAATCACACCGGCAAACCAATTAACTTGTGCCCACCTATTTAATTTCGAGAATATTAATATGATCTAAGCGATATTTTCATTAATCTGTCCAGGAAAAATTAAAAATTTCATTACCATGGAGTGTAAAGTGGACCTGGTTGTCCAATTGCATTCCAATCTAAAGAAATATTCAATATCCCCAATCCATGATATCCGCTACCAAAGCGAACAATATCTGAATTAAAAGGCACCATCAGACATAATATCGATATACTCGTCAACATAGTAAATATGTATTGAGGAAAAAATTGCCATATAAACATGCAAATGAATGCTATATAGAAGAATCTAAGCTTATCGCGCGTATCTGTCACATTTCCGTGAAGCGTCGAGAAAAGACTCGAAAACACTAAATTTGATGGCCACTTTGGAATGGAAGAAATTAAATTAGTCGATCTTCAAGATACTCAAAACTTTGGTTGCAATGTTATTCATACCAACATGTTTGCTGGTCGGACAAGATCTATAATAAAAAAGATCCGTTAGATTATAGTAAAAAATGTATTTATTTACTATCAATATCTTGTAAAATTACATTTTCGTAAGAATCCGGCCAATCCATATCCAATCATTTGTGTGCTTAATAAAAGCAATATTCCTATTATAAATCCAGAATGCTGATTATAGAAAAGTTCTTGTATGGCTATTATATCCTTTAAATGGATAAAAAAAAATGATAGATTAATATATCATTTATATAATTCAAAAAAGAGATTTTGAAAGATTATGTTATTTACGGTGCCATAAGCTGAGCCACCTCCGGCTCCTGCAGCAACAGCGATTAGCACATGTTCCTTTATATTAAATGGACCTAAAATAAATAATTAGAATAATACATTTCGTATGGGCATAAATAAACCGATAGATACCTGGATTTAATGTAAATCTCCAGTTCCATATCCTAAATTCATCTATAGGAAGTACATGAGCCATCCATTTACCCATGACAAAAGAAACGAGCAGCACGAAAAAAATAGAGTATCCACCACCATTTGATCTGAAATAATAAAATTCAGATACAGCAGCTCCAAGTGTGGTAAATATCTGAAATGAAAAGTGGATTTGAAAAATTTAGATAATGACCCAAAAACAAAAAAAAAAAAAAAAATTATTACTTACGAAACTTAGAACCCAAAAACGAAAAGTTAGACATGGTAGAGAAGGATCATCTTTAATACTAACGGCCTATGATAATATCCAAATGTTATTTGATGAGCTTGTGATTAATTTCAATTATAGTTAGATAATTACCGCAGCGACCATTGGTATTGTGGAATTTTCATTCTCCGATTTGTCGTGAGACAAAAGATATGCATCATCATTAAAATCATCAATGTCGGCAGCGCTATTTTGATTTTTATTATATAAAGTTTCTTCAGAATCATCTAATGAATTTGGTCTCAATTCTGGTAATTCAAATTCATCATCATCGAATGAAGAATTGCGTTGTTTTAAACGACCATATAATGGTATATTGGTCATGTTTATAAGGAAATAAAATAAATTGTTGGAGAGACAGAAAATAAATGTAAGACAACAATTATTTTTCTTTATATAAATTTATTTAGTCTTACGCAGGGACGATGATTTTCTGCGGTGATAAAAACCAAATTATGTGTGTGGTTAAACAAAATTCTGTGATGTGATGTGATACCGATTTTCATACATTCTGTGTAATTCTGTGGTGGTTAAAACCAATTCGGTGTTTTTATGTATTTAAAAAAAGATAAAAAATTTGCTTTAAAAATCAATTACGTTTATTAAAATATAACATATTTAATTTTTTTAATGATTCGCACGAAAGATTTTGCCGATCATTATTTAAAAGGTTATTATACATAGAGAAACTACGCTCTACACTGCAACTAGAAATTGGGAGCCAAATATAATCTAATGCAATTTTTGCCAAAATTGGTACATTTGATTGCATTCCCATCCAATACAAATTAAGATCAACCTGCTCTTCAATTAATTCATTTACTGACCCACAATAAATTGACCATTCCCTCAATAGTTCATTAGAAGGATTACAAAGTTCTTTAATTGCTGAATATCTACGAATATCTCTAACTTGAATTCCTGTTTTAATATATAATGGATCAAAAACACAACAAGCACGAAATAAAGATCGTGCAGGATGTTGTGGAATATGTGTTGCAAATTTATTGTATGCAACAATAAATGCTGATCGAAAAATATTATAAATATCCTCAGGGTTAAAGTTAAATTGTATGATGAGAGAGTATAAATCAAGTCCAAAATCCTGTACTATAAGATTTCCTTCCAAATAAGATGTAAGTTGTTCAAGACGACCTTCAACAAATGGAAATATTGGCTTATTTTGCTGCTGAAAAAAATCCAAATCCTGAACAAATTCTTGTGCATAACATGCAATAAAATTGATATAAATTGTAATTATTTTTTTTTTTTGTTCATCTTGTAAAATTTCATTAATTACAGAAATTGATAAATGTTTTGTATCTCTTCCATATTCTTCAAGATAAAAAGAAGGCCAATAATCAATATGATTTTTAGCATAAAATACCATTTTAAACCATGAATTCTATCGTGTCTTATTTGGTAAGAGGATCTTGTAAGGATTTTCAATTCCATGTATTCTAAGATGGTTCAAATAGCGTCCTTTTCGTCCTGATGCATTTACAAATGTTTCCTTAATTTTGGATAATAGTAATTTTAAAAGACCAAAATCTGAATGTGTTCTCCAAGTATCACTTGTAAAAATTCATATATTCCAAAAAGTTAACTGATACAAGTTTTGTATTTTTGTGAAAGGTAAAAAGGGTGTTTACAACACTTTTTGAGCAATCATCTGTGGTCTCATTCATTATTATTGCAACAGGTTTTTGATTAAAGAAATCTTTAAGTAAAGAAAAATGTTTATCAAAAACATTGGGTAAAT